GTGGCCTCCGCAGGGGATATTGGGACATTGGCTCCACCCCACCTGCTTTGCTTCCCAGGCACTGCGCGTTGAACAGGCCTCTTCTGTCACTGCCTGCGTGATGATGCTCTGTCTCACTGCAGGCCCAAAGGCAACAGGGATGAGCAACCATCGACTGAAACCCCTGGAGCCCTGGGGAAAAAATAAAAATCCTTCTAGCTTGTAAATTGATTTTTATCAGGTGTTTAATCAGAGCAACAGAAATCCCATTAACATTATTCCCTTGTCTTCTGGGTGCCTTCATTTTCCTTAGTGAGAGACTTACTGTTAATCTCTTCATTTCCTCACTCCCCCCACCAGCTTTGTTATTCTAACTTTACTATCTGATTGTCACAAGTTTGACCCGGATGTGCTTAGATGTGATTATCTTTGTACTTAAACCCTTTGGACTTCATTGAGCTTTCTGAATCACTTACTAGTTTTGTTTTTTTTCCCCAAGTTTCAAAAATTTAGCCAATATTTTTTCAAATGTTATTCCCTCCCCCATTCTCTTCCTTCTCACCAATTATATGCATGATTGGTCCCCTGATGATGTTTCAAGATTACTGAGGCTTTGATCTTCCTGTGCTTCAGTTTGGATTATTTTTGTTGCTCTGCCTTCAAATACACTTCCTCCTGGTGTGTCTACTGTTAATCTCATCAAATGAATTTTATTGTCTCTTATTTTTCAGTTTCATTATTTCCATGTACTTGCTACAACTCTTCTGAAATTTCTAATTTTGCTACCCATTATATTTGTGCTTCCTTCTAGATTCTTTAATATGTTTAGCATAATTATGTGTGAATTTTTTCCTTGACTGGAGGTTATTCTCCTTCTTTATATGTCTTGTAATTTTTTTAATTGGATTCTGGACATCATATCCAGGAAGGGATTATTCCGTTAGAGTTTAGTTACTCTAGATTTCTTTGTTAGCAGCTCTTTGGTGGCTTTTAAGCAGGGTTTGGAAAATTATAGCCCAAAGTCAAATCCAGCAAACAATCTATTTTTACACAAATCATGAGATAATGTGTTTTGTTTTGTTCGCATACTTTAAAGAATTGTTTTTTAAAAAGAACAGTATGGGGCTGGGGATTTAGCTCAGCAGCACAGCGCCTGCCTGGCAAGCGTGAGGTCGTGAGTTCAATACCCGGTACAGGAAAAAAAAAAAAAAAAGATGAGCCAAAAAAAAGAACAATATGCACCAGAGACTATATGTGCCCAGCAAACCTAAAATATTTATTGTTTGGTCCATTACAGAATATTAGTCAACAGCTGCTTTATATGTGTATCGTTTATCCGGTGATTTCCTGATTTTCAACAATAGAAAAGGTCTTTATCAACTTTCCACATCTTAATCAGAAACAAAATTCCTTGTACTGTGGTTATAATTTATATTTCCCTGACTTGTAATGAGATTTTACAGCTTTTCACATATTTATTAGAGTTTTCTTGTATTAGTTATTCAAACAACTTTCTTTTGTAGTTTCTTTTAAATCTCTTGCATGTTTTTGTACTGGATTGTTTGGCTTTTATAGACTTGGAAAGGTAGTTTACATGTTGGAATCTCAGTTCTTTGTTGGTTATATGCAGGTAAAAATTCCAAAACTCATACACTGTTTTGGAACACTATATACACACACACACACACATATACATACACACACACAAACACATATACTAGCATGCGTGCACACATACACACACACAGCATATGAGTTTTGAATATAAAAATGGAATATCAAATCAAAGATGAACTAACATTACTAAACAGATAGTGTTGGAACAACTGGTTTAGACATGTATACATATGTAATGCAGTCTATCTTTACCAAACTAAATTCCAGATAGATTAGAAAAATTGAAACCCCAGAATAATCTAAAGGACATACAAGTGATGATATATCTGATAGCTAGTAAGGACAACTTTTTTATTTTGAGACAGGATCTCACTATGTAGTTCAGGCTGGCCTGGATTCACTACATAGCCCAAACTGGGCTTGAACTTGTGTCAATCTTCCTGCCTCAGCCTCCCAAGTGCTGGGATTATAGCTGTGCACCACCACGCCTGGCAGAACAACATTCTTAGGCACACAAAAACAAAAATGATAATGTAAAATATTGATAAATTTGCATAAATACTAAAAGCTTTTCTCTGTTAAAAAAATCACCAAAACAGCAGTGACAAAGGAACAAAAAATAGACAATGATGAAAAGGAAGCAAAAGTTTTCAGCAACTATAAGAATGGATTAAGACGGAGGGCCTCCGGTGCATGGGGAGCCATGGGCAGGGAGTGCCGGTCTTGGGACCTGCAGCTCACTCCCTGCTTCATAGGCCCCCGAAGGGAGGGCCTCGGGCACACGGGGAGCCATGGGCGGGGAGCGCCGGCCTTCCGATGGCACCTTGCTCCCTGCCTCATAGGCCCCCAGAAGGAGGGCCCCCAGAGGGAGGGACCCCAGTGCACGGGGAGCCACGGGCGGGGAGCACCAGTTTTCGGGCTGGCTCACTTCCTGCTTTGTAGGCCCCCGAAGGGAGGGCCCCTGGCACACAGGGAGCCATGCTGCTGCAAGTGCTGTTGTGTGCTGGCCTTCAGACCAGCCACCGCTGCTCAATTGAGAACTATCATGACACACACACACACAAAAAA